AGCGCAGATAGCCCTCGTGTAGCTTTGCGCGAAATTCATAACGAACCAAAACAAACAAACCTTTATTTTAATAACAAGACTACGAATTATTTGTATAATTCCAGAGATTTTGCGATTTTATAAGAGAAACTGTAAATTAAAATAAATTAAACTTACTGTTTTATCCAATAATAATGCAAAACACACTAACAAGACGACAAATTTTATGCAGAGTATCCCCCCCCCCCAGTGGCACAACGGTATGTCTGCAGATTTAAAACGCTAGAAACCGTGTTTCGAAACCCGTGGTGGGTAGAGCACAGATAGTCCATTGTGTAGCTTTGTGCTTACCTACAAAGAAACACACAATGCAGAGTTTTTAAAAGTAATGAATGTATTGGCTTTAAACATGATTCATAAAAGATTTTCCCATTAACCATTTGTTATTTTGGTTGGAAAGAACTAGGAAGGTGTAGTCTAGTGGGTTGCGAATTGGAAAATCCAAGGTTTGAGTCATGATACGCAATTTAACACGCTAAACGCTTTCAGATGGGGGGCGTTATAACCATAAAAGTCACCGCTATTCAATTAAGATCAGCCATTATAGGCAGCGGGTACTGCTGATTGGTTGTCTTCTCCCTGGTCTGAAATTTTAAGACAACTACGAATATATTTACACAATCCTGTCCCTGGCCAGGCTGTTTAGCCACTACGTCGCATAAAGAGTCACTCAGAAACAAAGAATCGAATGGAATGTTACTTCTTCAGGGCAATTTTGTTTATTTTATCTTTTCTGATCCCTGAAAAGTTATTTGTGGTATCAAATATTACGTTCAGACTGTCTCTTGTCACTCTAGCTTGTGAATAATTTCACAGATCTTCAGAAAGTTCGGTTGAATTACAGTTTGCTACATTTCAAATTACTTTTTTTCACACATAGATTTTGATGAACTTCGGGGTTGTTGGTGTAAAAGCTAAACTGCCCACTTGTATTATCTATGCTTTAAGTACTGGTAAATAAAGATATAAAGGATTAGTTTGGGTCTCATTAAGCTAATAATGTGTCTATGATACAATAAATAAAAATATGAAGGACTATTTAGGGTCTCACTAAGCTGATAAGGTGTCTGTGATACAATAAAAGTGCTATTAGTATCAAATTAACCTGTACAGCATTCAATAATCTTTTTTTCCCCCTTTTTTTAATCTACACAAAGAGAGCTTTTATTGTTGTTAAGCACAAAGTTACACAATGGGTTATCTGTGATTACTCACTGCAGGTATCGAAACCAGAGATTTAGCGTCATACGCTCTCAGACTTACCGCTGAGCAGCCTGGAACACATATAAAAAAAGAAAAGGCTTTCTAGTTTGTGCTTTATTATGTTACGCAGTGATTTCCTTTTTTACTCCATAGAAAGGTAATGAGTAATGCGATTTTGCGTAAGTTAACGGAACTAATTAATATACTTACTTCTGAAATGTAACGGTGAACATTTCGTATAAACAAATAGATGAGTTTATGTTGAAGAAACGACTTTATATTAAGATATTAGTATTAAGAATCGCAAGAAGTGTTTGCACCCCATTATTACGGTCAGTAGATTTTAATTATTAAAATTGTGATGTATTGATGTACACGATGATGTTTATGGTGATCTCAATTAGAAATGAAACTATTGTCCGACGCATGATCTGCAACGTTCCTTTTACACATTCACATAACGTTGCATCTTCCTAAACAAGCTAAAGTATCTCAGAGTACACGTATTAACAAAGAAACAGTCCGTGCCAGAACAAGGCAACAAGGGAAACGATAACGCAAATCAAAGCCTCGCTTACAAAAGCAAATCTATGGTAATATCGACCCCAAACCAAATCAATAACCTGATTTTCCCCACGTGGTCCATTGTCTGCCTTCCGTTACAAAGTTGTAACCAAGCAGCTGACACCCGTTGGATAGCGACGGTTTCAGTTAGCAAACCAATTACTGTAAAAAAGAAAAAAGAAAAAAAAGACAGCTGTCAGGGTTAGGTGAGGATCGTCCAGTTCGATTAGCGATGTCGGTGATGAGTAAAACAACATTTGCTCTTACATTCAATAAAATTAGACCCTTATTTTCGTCCACACCCATGTGTTCACACATTTTGATCTCTTCTCAATCGGAAAATTAATTTTCTTGGTATATTATTTTTCTCTTTACAATCTAATTAGAATATATTTACTCTAAAGAAGATGTATATTTTTTTATCTTTTATTAACATAATTTAATATCAATTCAAATACTCGAATAAAATAAAACTTTACAAATCAATCCTATTTATTTAGTATATTTAGTTTTTAACCATTCCAATATAAAGTTTCACAACAACATTCTTATTTTTTAAACCAATCTAACATCTTAGTGATTATTTTGCCTTTTTTACAATTGAAGCCAGATGGCAAGCTGTTTAACACGTTTCGTCAATTTACAAATGTAATGAATATAAAATCCCCCTTCAACCAACTTATTCATTTTAACAATAGACAAACTAATTTTTTTTCAAATCTTTTTCATAAACGCTTTATGAATGTAAATTATGTAAAAAAATATTTGCATCATGAAGAAATAACATCATGCTTCCTCTCCCCAGGTAGTAAAGCTACATTAAAATACCTATGTGCAAGTATCGCCCTCTGTCGGTGACTTATTGCTAGCATATTATGGCTTATTAAAGGTCATGCATTCTTTCTCTTCCCTTGTAAAAAAATCTTGTTTGTATTATTCAAGTTTTATTTATAATAATAAAAGAGTCTATGTATGTGTGTGTGTGACCGCCATAGCTCCAAGAGGAAAAAACATAGAGACCTGAAACTTTGCACGCATACTAAGAAAACTATGAAGATGTGCACCGGGGTATTATTTTTTAGGTCTACAAAAAATATCTTTTTTTTTGTAATTATCACTTACTGAATGAACAATAAGTGGAAGTTTTCTGCCTAATACTTTTATGAACACAAACATGGGAATAAAAATACAAATTTTAGAATTAAGAAAAAAGTTGAATTGAATTAAGTTTGGGAAAAGGCAACAAACAACGGGAATAAAAATATGAATCAGAGAATACTGGAGAATTCGGAGAATAAAAATAACTCAAATAAAAACACAGGAAAAAACGAAACTGAGAAGCTAAATTAAAACTGTTTGCTTTTAAAAGGAGTTGAATTGAATTAAGTTCGGGAAATGGCAACAGACAAATCACTTAAATAATTGGTGCAATGTGTAGCTATGGAAGTAATAAAGATAATGAAGACGCTTGACTGGTTCATTGAGGTCTCTGTGAATCATGAAGGGTCATTAGAATCCTGCAACGCAGCGTGGGTATTATATGCTAGTAAGTAATATTCTTACTTGTGAAAACAGAAGACTTATGAAATATCGCTTGAGTTGTGGTTATTGTTAAGTATAAAGTTACACAATAGGTTGTCTGTCCTATTGCAGGAATTAACAAAATTTTCTCATGTTACCTTTTAATACTTGAATATTTGATATGGTATCGCATACATTAGTAATTTATAGATAAAAATAAAAAAAAATTCTACCATGCTTCTTAACCAAGAAAAACATTGATTTCTGTTTGACGTCAACGTGTCCAAAGACCAAAGCTGAATGTTTCTTCAGTTCTATAAACCATTGGACAATGACGCAGTCGAAACTGGTTTCTCCTAAGGAATGTTACGTAGGTTATACTTAATATTCAAAACTAGAGAGAAAGATCGTCGCAGTGGGATCATTACAACTGAAATGGTAATAGACAGTGTTACCGTTTTTATTTTATTGTGTTGTTTTTTAAGTCTCAGTAGCCATGGTTGAATCCCTGCGGTTTTAGAACAAGAGATGGTGACGAGCCTTTCGCACTGCAGCCCTATTAATCTTAATAATGTTTGTTATCTAGTTGCTAGGTTACCGGTGTAAACCGCACGACATGCTGTACGAGAAAGCCCGTTGCTTGAAGTCGATGAGTATTATACAATCCAAGTCTGTACGGTGTACTCCGGCAATCGATCCAATAAGCAAGTTCTATTAAACTGTTTTCACCCTAGTAAGGGGTTAATGGACATCGCGATTCTTCGTTGCAATAAACAGTGAATAGTAAGAATGTCAGTACTTCAAACTTTGTGTTTACCAAGAAAGGGGACGAAATGGATTTATCTTACGTCAGTTTTAAAAGTTTCAATATTCGTGCACAGTTCTCATTAATATTTTCTACTGAAATTTACAACCCATTGCTGTCAGGAATCAGTCACATCCTTTCAAGGTTTAAATTTTTCAACATACACACAAGAACATATTTAGTACATCCTATGCTCTTCAACTAAACATGTTTTCAATGTTCTCAGAACATGTGTAATTAGTTATTTCTTATTGTTTCTTAGTGGTTTACACACACACACTTCTTTCTTTGGAAAATTAACTAGGAAGCCAGTTTGATATCATAAAATTATAATAATAAATAATTGGTATTTAAAATAACTAAATAAATATAATTATGTTATTCAAACTTACCCTAATTCTGATTTCTGAGTGACTTAAAATATCAATTGATAATAATTACAAATCACTTACTTAATCTAGTTCACACTGTAACACTTATTGTTCATGAAACTAACGATTACAACTCACTTACTTAATCTAGTTCACACTGTAACACTTATTGTTCATGAAACTAACGATTACAACTCACTTACTAATCTAGTTCACACTGTAACACTTATTGTTCATGAAACTAACGATTACAACTCACTTACTTAATCTAGTTCACACTGTAACACTTATTGTTCATGAAACTAACGATTACAACTCACTTACTTAATCTAGTTCACACTGTAACACTTATTGTTCATGAAACTAACGATAAGAATAGCACCTAGACCACTATTAGTTTTTTCTAGCCACATCTCATGGCTGAAGAGAGGGAATAACCCCTCTGATGGCCCATAATCCTTTGGCTGAAATTATATGATATATGCATCCCACCACCTCTGTCGTAAAACAGCCGGCCTGGCACTTGGCGAGAGGCCTCGTCGGCATGGGATATGACAAATGTAGTATTATTACACACTCTTCTTTGCTTTCATTCGTAAGTTTTTAGAATTACTGTACGTGGGAAAATCACGTGAAGCGGATACCATGCCGATACATTTCATACTCAACCCAAAAAATGTTTCTGACACTCACTATAAACACAGTGAAATTTAAAAGAATCGCTGGGAAATCATAATACATTTTCTGTGCTGTTTAGCTACTTACTAAATGAATATAAACTAACCTTAAATTGTACCTGGATTAGCACTAGTAATACTAACCTCCATAATAACTACCACATAAGTTTCAAGTGTATATACATATATATATATGTTTGTGTGTGTGTGTGTTGTAAAATATATTCGAATATTAAACATTTTTGCGATACTCCACGGAGGGGGGTGGGGAGAGCTACTTTGTCCAAGTTCTGCCTTACCTCTTTAATACATTGAAGGCGTTCATTTGTTTGTTGTATATGTCTGTCCATTGCCGTAGCCATAGCAGTCATTGCCGCTATTTTGACGTCACTGGTCTATAACATCTTCTGGTGGTAGATCATTCCAACATTCTGTAAATTAAATATATATATATATATGTACATCAATTTATTATATAATCAGCCGAGTAAAACAAGTTCAATAATGAAAATAAATTACTTTGTCTATAGCACGTTATTCGGAGAAACTTCAGGCGCTGATTCAGAATTATATTAGTGGCATAGTTTCATAATGGGGTTTGGGGCATGCTTTTTTTGAAAATGTTTCCAACTATGCAAACCGATTCCCTCCCCTCAAAAATTACACAGGAAAAGGGGAGGTAGTTAGTCCATCCCATCCCTCGCTTCAGCTCCTGACTTTGTGAATTTATCTATAATGTTTCTGTAACTAAGCTTTATTTTGAATATTTCGCAGTTTATTTGTGACTGGCACATTTAATATGATTATTTTCACTGTGGTAACGCTCATAAACCCCAGGTTGGATACACGTACACCGCCAAACAATTACATGTTAGATTTATGAGTAGTCATATGCTAAAGACAACTTGCTATTTATGGTAATACAGAAGAATAACTTCCTAATCATGAAAACTATAATTACTTCTGTGCTTTGAAATAAGAAAATCATTGATTTGCATTAGTTGGTTTCCAAGGTTGTCACGAGCAACATGAATCGATTAGTACTCAAAACACAGCTTACATTACCAATGATCAATAAATAATCGACATCACCTCAAAATGATTCTACTGGTCATAGACTAAGTTATATCTTAAGTATCAAACAATTATAAATGGGTGATGTGGGGTTCAGTTAGCCTATATGAATAGGAGGCAACCATTTATCAGTTATTCAGAACAAGTGATAACACCGTGATTATTGGTTCAACATTGAGGACATCAAGAAACAATAGGGTGATTATTGGTTAAATAACGAGGACGTCAGGTAATAACACGGTGATTATTGGTTCAATATTGAGGACATCAAGAAATAACAAGGTAACATTGGCTCAGTATTGAAACATCAACAAATAACATAGTGATTATTGGTTGTGACGGATTTACTATTGGTTCAGTATTGAAGACATCAAGAAACAACACGGTGTTTATTGGTTATATCAAGAGGAAGCCAAGTAATGACAAAGTGATTATTGGTTCAATATTGAGGACATCAGCAAATAACATAGTGATTATTGGTTGTAACGGATTTACTATCATGTATCTATTTTAATATCGATGTTTGTTTAACTTAAATTGATATTTTAAAATGTACAGTGTACATAACTACTGTTAAATCTATATTGCGAAATTCCCGCCGAGTCACTAAAATTGTAGATAATTATCGAGTGTAAGAATCAACAATATATGTGTGTTCGTAAACACTGGTGTATCGTCTATATTGTTGCATAAGCTGAAAGTTCGAGAAACTCTCCTCATGCCTATAAATATAACCAACGCGACGTGCAAAAAGTATACATTATTGGTTTGCTATAGTTGGTACGTAATAAACCTTGGAAGCTATAACTGTGATTGTTATAACGCTTATTAATCGGGATCTTCAGATATTTGACAAGGAAAATTTTATAGATTTCGACTATTACAAACTATTTAACTTCAGTGGATTTACATCTGACATTAGTATTTTTTGAAAACGTTATATAACTTCAGCGGTGGACAATTTTGCGTGTGTGGCTGGTGAAGAACGAAAGAACACAGAGCTACCTAGTTCCCTGTTAAGTGAATTGTAGCTATATCTACTCAAAATTTATTTGCTCATCGTGAGTCCTCGATAAGATATCAAGGAAGTTCCAGACCAGATAGAGGACTAAATATTGTTTGTAAGTTTGTTAAAATTTTGTACATAGATCAGTATTTGTAATAACTGTTATTGTAAATTGTATTATTGTTTGTAGATTAAAATATATTTATATTTCAAAAAAAATGTGTGTATCAATCTTGTTGGCAAGTATCATAAGTTGGATACATATCGACATTTATTTAATTTATAAATCTAAATCATTATTTTACTCAGTTTCTGGTTACTCGAAATTATAATACGTTACGTAATAAAATGAAGGCTCGTCCATGATAAATTGTAATACGTAACATGGTTAAATAACGAGGCCGTCAAGTAATAACACGGTGATTAATGGTTGAAAATTAACGACATGAAGTAATAACACTGTGATGATTTCTCCAATATTCAAAACATGAAGTGATAACACTGTGATGATTTCTCCAATATTCAGGACATCAAGTAATAGCACTGTGATGATTTGTCCAATATTCAGGACATCAAGTAATAGCACTGTGATGATTTGTCCAATATTCAGGACATCAAGTAATAGCACTGTGATGATTTGTCCAATATTCAGGACATCAAGTAATAACACGGTGATTATTGGTTGAGTATTGATTATTCAGACCATCAAGTAATAACACGGTCATTTTTCTTTCAATATTGATTATTCACAACACTAAGTAATACCATGGTGATGAATGGTTCAACATTCAATATATCAAGTAATAACAGTTGAATATTGAAGACTTCAAGTATTAACATATAAATGAGTGGATTACTATTCAAGACAACAATTAAAAACACGGTGGTTATTAAGTTCAATGCATTATTACAATAAAATATTACTGTAAGACAATATTAACCCGGTAATATAATGATTTACTTATGATATCAGTAATATGGGGTCAATATTAAATTGCTTTTAGTAGTACGTGTACGTTAGTAGGACGTCTAGTTGATGGATAATTAGTAACAATACAACTAATAAACATTCTATGGAGTTTCGACTCCTTTTTTAACTTACCATACAGTAACCTAAATTAATTTAGATATGTGAACAATGTTATGAAGTTTCGTCTAATTGATTGTTCGATATTATACAGCGGATCATATGTTAAATATTTCTTTTCTTTTTCATCAAAGGTGTAATTGAAAAGAGCATTAGGATTCTACGTCACAGATTATCTTTTTAATTCCACCTTTTGTGAAAAAGAAATGAAATTTTTAACATATATATATATATGTAATCATTAAACATTCTGTAAGACTGGTTTACTAAAAACATAACAATAACACTAATTTCGTATTTCGTACTAAGCACCAGAAGAAGTTTTAGATTTGTTTCTTTGTGGTAAACCGACCAAGGAAGTTTTTTATAGAACGTTAAGTAAGTCATAGGTCACGCCACTAGTCGGTGTTTAGTAGTTTGCAGTTTAGGTGTATTTGTTTTATTTTCGAAATTCAGCGCAAAGCTACTCGAGGGCTATCTGCGCTAGCCATCTCTAATTTAGAAGTGATTAACTAGAGGGAAGACAGCCACTTAACACTACCCATCACCAATCTTGGGCTACTCGTTTACCAATAAAAAACAAGGGATTGACTGTCACATTATAATGTCTCACGGCTGAAAGGGTGAGCATGTTCGTTGACGGGATTCGATTTCGCGACCTGCAGATTGTGAGTCGAGCAACCTAACTATTACAGGCCCATTTCCATGTATAATTACTAATGATTAATTAACCTTTGTCTGCAAACTCTACAAACCAGTTAGGTTCTATTAAACCGCTAAGTATTTAATTTTGTTTTTTCAAAAATCAAATGATATATACCGCCGTAATATGCAGGTTATGCTTAATTTGACGTGCGGGTTGTGCTTAATGTAGCATAGGTTACGTTCAGTGCAGCATCCTTAATTTGCCTTGCAGGGTATGTTTAAAGTGGCACGCAAATTATGATATTTTTAGCAAGATGGTTATACTTGTGAAATATTACTAGTAATGACAATGAGAAACTTGGCTTTGAGTTATTTTATACCTATGAAATATTACTAGTAATGACAATGAGAAACTTGGCTTTGAGTTATTTTATACTTATGAAAAGTTACTAGTAATGACAATAAGAAACTTGGCTTCGAGTTATTTTATACCTATGAAATATTACTAGTAATGACAATGAGAAACTTGGCTTTGAGTTATTTTATACCTATGAAATATTACTAGTAATGACAATGAGAAACTTGGCTTTGAGTTATTTTATACTTATGAAATATTACTAGTAATGACAATAAGAAACTTGGCTTCGGGTTATTTTATACTTTATTGTCATTACTAGTAATATTTCATCATCTACTACCATTCACTGTCTGGATCGATCACCGGTTAGGTGTCAGGCGCTTTAACCCACAACATATCTACTACCATTCACTGTCTGCAGCTCGTGGGTATGGTCAAGATCAAAAGGTCAAATACCTCCCATACTGATCCCCCCCCAGTGGCACCGAGGCATGTCCGAGGACTTACAACGCTAGAATCCGGGTTTCAATACCCGTGGTGGGCAGAACACAGAGAGCCCTTTGTGTAGCTTTGTGCTTGACTACCACCAACCAACCCATGCTGAGATGGCATATAGGATCCGGTGCTGATTTATTTGACACAGACGGATGAGAACGGTAACACATTCTCCCTGGACAGGATGCCAGGACATCGCAAGTTAATCCCCGCTAACAGCTGGGTAGACTGATACAACTGGGATAAAGTGTCTTGCTCAAAGACACAACAGCAGAGCATGCATGAAGGCAATACACCACGCTGTCCCCCAATGGGTATAGTGCCCCCAATTTCTTTTTAATTTTAAAAGTAACACCATAGTAGAAATTAATTTGTTGTTGAAAATCACCCTTAATTTCTACCCTTGTTAGACGTTAGCAATATATATATTTTCCTCGTAATTCAATTTACCTAATATAACAACGCACAAACTAGTATTACTCTCCAAAGTATATCAGTATTAAACACCCAGCGTAGACGTACACATGTTCATACTTAGAAAGTTGTGTTCTAGTCGTAAGCCAATATTCATGTAGTTTAAAATTCAAATACACGAGTATTACTTTAATCTCTTTACATTGAGGTTATGATGCCACTAAATTTGCTAAGTTTAGCATCTTTCTAAGCTCAAGGCATTCCATGAAGTTAAAAGTAGGTATTTGTTAAGCATGTTTTCTTTAATTATACGTAACTTATTCAAACAGGGTTAGTAATGTCACAGAAACGT